AAAATCTCAAAATGTTTTATTGTATTAGCACAGATTTAGTTTTCGCTCTTGATTCGATTGCCATCTTATTTAGTTCTAATCATTTTATTATCTAATCATGGCAGTTTCATCCTTATTTTTTTTTAAATTCTTATTTAATTTTAAGTTCTCATTATAACTTATTAAATATTTTTTGCCGAAAAGTGATATTGTGAATGTTTAATTCTAAATAATGTTTTACAATTTTGCATTCATTATTTTAATGCTGATGATAATTGATGATTTAATTTATACGCATGTTGACTGGACTTAGTTTTACCCAAAGCTTATTATAAAAATTAATATAACTTATTTATCGTTTAGTAATATGATTAACAAGTTTAAATAACCGATTTAAATATGCTTATCATAAAACTATGAATAATGAGTTGATATTAAGAAATGACGCTTTCAGTTTTTGTTATGCAATTGAAATCAAAATGAAGATATCTAGGGGGATATTGAAATAGATTTTGATTAACAAATACAAATGATGAATTCAGTTTGAGTGATAAATGAGAATATGGAATAGGATTTTAAATTTTAATTTATAATGTTAATTTTTATTGTTAGAATGGAATTTTTATAAAAAGACTATAAGTTTAAAATATCATTTGGTTTATTAAAGTTATAAATGATATATAGTAGCATGTTATAAATAATGTTAGTGGATTAGAAAAACTGCCCATATAATGAATAGTGTTGTTGTTACTTTCGCCACTTGTCCATACAAACAAGCCTGCTTGAAATCAAACGAAATTTTAAAGCAGAGGGTGCATTTCTTATTTTTTCAGTGGTGCCATCTATGAGCGAGAGTACAACTTCAGCCACACGCACGTCACAGCCCGAGGACTCAATCATACTCCATTTATTCGTCCACAGATCGTAATTATATCCTGAACAAGAGAATGATTAAAATGCAGGAACTTGGAGGACTTTGTGACCCCGGTAGATTTAACATGCAGCAGTCGCACCATTAAATACTCTGGGATTCTTCGGCTGAGGGGATTTAACTCTCGTTCTCACTAACACTAGTCAATCGTACTAACCAGGCTATCCAGAGTAGTGTAATTTGAGTAAACATTACAAATATTGAAATGCGAGTGATATTGTGTTGGTTTCGGAATATTTTAATATTTTTCTGCTTTTCCAAACAGGGAATATAATAAATATAAATATGTTTTTAGCATAAAGAATTAATATATATCGTGTATAAAATCTGTCTTTCACAATTTTTTTTCCGCAGGTATCAGAGTTATTGGTATTCAACTTTTTCAACTTTGATACTGAAATAAAAAATAGAAGATCCATTTTCGATGTTCAACGATGCTTCAAAAATGATGATGACTATCTATGGGTTACTATTGGTTTTAATGCAGGTATAACAGTATTTTTTTTTTTTTAAATAATGATTTATGTTTTAGAATCCTTTTCCCTCCCGACCTAACTCAACTATCGAATTGGGAAGACGTGAAGAGACAATTCTTTTAATGCTGAGTATGCTTTTAATTTTTTTTTATTTAATTTTCACAAATAAAAGGATGCTAGATACGAAGGTTGTTTTTTTAAGCAAGGGCCGTTCTGTTGTGCACACTTATAGGTGACGTGTGCGCCGCAACGAGTGCTTGCGTCGTGTCCCGGCATTCCTTCGAAACAACTGTTCTCAGTGGCAGCTGTGTAGGTATACTGCACGATCAGATCTGTGTCTTTAAAATGTTCAAATTTAATAAATCACACGACACGCACGAGATAGAGTCAGTGATGCGTTTTTAGTTGGTAAAAAATCTGTCTGCTGCATACGTTCACTGGCAGATTTGTGAAGTAGCGAAATTCCCTGCCATGCTGACAGGAAATTTTGCTACACTATGACAATGACTCTCGCCGCAGCTTAGATCTTAGCTTTATGGGACTTATTTGGATGTGAAGTGTTGTTGTTCATTTACGTCGCACTAGAGCTGCATAATGGGCTATTGGCGACGGTCTGGGAAACATCCCTCAGGATGATCCGAAGACATGCCATCACAATTTTGATCCTCTGCAGAGGGGGTGGCACCCCCCGCTTCGGTAGCCCGACAATCTGCACGCGAAGTCGAGCACTTTACGGTAGAACAGCTAACGAGGACCAGTACCGCACACCCTCGATCCCTACGCAGGCTGATCCAAGTGGTCACCCACCCGCACACTGACCGTAGCCAGTGATGCTTGACTTCGGTGATCTGCTGGGAACCGTGTCTTAACGATCAGACCACTGCGGGACTGGATGTGAAGTTTTTAACCACCCCTCAGTACAGTCTAGACCTTGAGCTGAGTGATTTTCTTCTTTTCCGATATTTCAAGCTTCATTTTGGCGGCAATCACTACAACGATGAAGAATAAGTAAAAACGGCCGTGAACCCTTGGTTAACTTAGCAGGCGGCAAGTTTGTATGAAGAGGTTATTCAAAATCTAGTTTTAAGGCATGATAAGTGTTTAAACAAACTTGGCAACTATGCTGAAAAAAAAAGAAAAACGCATGTAGAATCTGAAAATCAATTTACTTCTTGAAAATTTTCTTTTGTTTAGTTTTTATTTTCAAACGGCTCTTACTTAAAAAAAAATCTAAACATTTCAAATGCAGGATCATCAGCTAATCACAATATAAGGTGTGCGGTATTTTCCCCTTATGCAACTGAAACGCGCTTCTTCCGTTCGATTGCTAATCGGCGGTGACCAGTTTCCTAACTCAACTGCAAAATTACGTCACTATCGAAGTTAAAGGGTTACCTTTTTTGAGAGTTTCTTTGCCAATAAAACAATTCATGTGCGTTTTGACTGTGAGTCGGGGAAGAATTTTAACTAACTTTCAAGCGCTTTCTCGCAAAGTTTCGAACTTATCTTCTATATTTGCGTCTATAATCATCTAAAATACTACTTTAAACTTTTTAACTACTACGAAGTATTAACAAAATTTTTTGAAAATTGTCTTTTTAAAAAAAAAAAATAGAATTGAATAGTTCGATTTAGAATAAATATTTTAAACAATTTTAGATACAAATACAATGACGATGAATGTTTCTTTTAAGATTCTCTTTATTAAATGTTTTTTACACATTTTAAATTTTTAAGCTATGATAAAAGTTCTTAACATCCGCCTTAGATAAAAATATGCAGTATCAAATCAACTACAATTACTTATACGTCAAAAAACACATACATCTAACCTAACCAGATCGGCAAACGTAAGTCCGTATCAAGAACTATAATACGATAATATAATTCTAATTACTCTGAAGCAAATGATAACTAATCAAATATTGGCATTTTATTTCTATAAGTAATAAATTATAAACAACAAGAGGTCTCTTGTGATTTCTAATTGATGATTTTATTAATGTTTTATTTTTCCATATCGTCCATGAAATACAATTCATCAAAATGAAGCCGAATAAAGATAATCCCAATACTATTATTTCATTATAAATTTTTAAAAATTATATTCTTTTTAAAATTTAAAGATTATATTATAGAATATGTATTAGAAAAAAAAGCATCAAAAATTTAACCTAAAATACAGGATGGCAGGACAGTGATAGAAGAGGCCTCTTCAGATATCTTATTGATGGTTTTATTATGATTTTTTTCCATCTCTCAAATGAAATACAACTCATCAAAAAAAAGCGAACAAAAATAATCTCAATACTATTATTTCATTATAAATTAAAAAATTGCATTCTTTGAAAATTTAAAGATTATATTGTAGAATACGTATTAGAAAAAAAAACATCAAAAATTTAACTTAAAATACAGGATGGCAGGATATTGAGGGAAGAGGTCTCTTCAGATATCTTATTGATGATTTTATTAATGTTTTCTTTTCCATATCACCGATGTAATACAACTCACCAAAAAAAATGAATAAAAATAATCTCAATACTATAATTTTATTATTATTAAAAAAAATTTTATTTTTTGAGCAAAACAAAAAAAACTTCGTTTAATGTAGTTTAAAATTGTAAACAAAAAATATTGAGATTCATGCGTAAAACAAGAAGATCGACTTTAAATCATATTTTCCATTTTCAGACGAAGCAATATTGATGAAAATCAGGGATAATGTCCCGAGTATTCAATCGAACATTCTGAATAGCATTTACTCAACTTCTGAATTAAACCCTGTTAGAGTACCTACCATTCTAGTAAGTGACATTTCAATTTTACTTTTTAGTCCAAGCATAAATTTCACTTTCTTAAGTCGTAACGTTTTCCTGATAGATTTAAAGTGTAACATTTGTTTGGAGATGTACGAAGAAAAAAATAGAACCGATACTTCAAAAAAATTAAAGTTCGTAAGCATTATCACTTTCTGCTGAAAATTATTTTTATATGCTAAATATTTTAAACTAAAAGATCTCTTTACTTTCGATTTGGATCACATTGTATTACACATGCATTCAAAGAAGAAGGGGAAAAATTAATTAGGAGACTTTTGCGATTAAGATTTCAAAATAAAAATAAAAAACACTGCTTGCCATTTTTTTCTATTTCTTATCCCAAACTATGTTCTATGCTCACTTATTTCAACTAAACATACCACACAAAATATTAACTTTAAAAATAAAAAAATTAAGTTTCAACTCAAAAATTGGAAAGTATTTGCAAAATTCCATATTTTTTTTCAGACATGAAAGCTTTAAAAACTTTATACAATTAAAAAGAAAAAAGAACATGTATGATCAACTTTTATTGTGCATAATTTTTTTCATCTTTTTTATCAAAATAGCTTCGTAGCTGTTGTAATACCTTTGCGTAATAAGTGTATTTTTTTTCCTGACAACTTTCAGTGTTGTAACGCAAATATAAAAACCTGTTGTTATTATTATCTTCTTCTGAAAATGATTGGCCAAAATAATGATTCTCGAAACTTATTTTAATGTAACTTTTTTTACTTTTATGTAATTTTTATGATTTTTTCAACTATCAGTGATTTGTTTCTTCTTAGCATAGTTTATATAGATAAAAGAGAGAATACACTAAGATACTCTCTTACTAACGCGTTCCCAACTTTTTAGTTAGGCAGATCACCACTTTGGAAAAAAAAAAATGAGTCCCACAGTTGTCGCCGTCAGCCATTATGACAGATGAGGTGTGATTGTTCTTATTTTCCAGTGGCGCCACCTATTTTCAAAAATTCAACTTCTGCCACAGCAATACGTCACACCTGTTTATAGCTTGGATCCACGTCCATTCATTCATCCACAGATCACAATTTTAACAGAAACCGGAGAACGATCCATCTCTAATTCAGTACCCTCAGAGGCATAATTTTTAAAGGAACTTTGAGGACTTTGGGACCCTGCAGATTTAACGTGCTTCTGCCGGTCGGATTCGAACTCCCCTTCTCACGAACGCCCTATCAACCAGACTATCCTGCCCTCATGAGACCCACTAAACAATAAATAAATATAATGTAATGTCAAATATTCCATGCCGCCTCTCTTGCGGTTCACTCTCCATGAGTTAAGATAAGAACAGCTGTCTTATTAATTAAAATATAGATTACATTGTTTAAAATTACACGAAGAATGTTTTCAAGACATTTATTTTAACTTCAGGTGGATATTAAAGAAGGATTATTTGTGACTTTATTGATACTAGGGAAGCCTCCAGTTCTTTGTAAGTTTTTTTTTTCATACTTCATCTCTTCATATTTCATAACATCATTATATATATATATATATATAAATGATTGTCTGTCTGTTTTTTATATACTCCTAAAACATCCGACTGAGAGCGATGAAATTTGGCATGATGATAGTTCGAAGCACAGGGACGGTCACTGTCGAGATAACATTTTTATACAAACCGTGTAAGAAAGATGAGCTAAATATTTGATTGGTTAAGTCTTAACCATTGTTTTAAATCTAACTATAGACAATTACGTTGTTCAAATATTTTAAGGATAACATCAATAATATTCACAAGCTTATAGCTCAATTTGATAAAAAAAAATTTTTTAAAAAGAATTTGATGTATGCACTGTAATATTTAGTTATATTTTAATCGCTGTGTCAGATGAATTCAATGAACGACGCTAAAGTGATACATGGAACATTATGACAAATATTAGTACTCCTAAAATTATCTGAAACTCAGAGTTTGTTTTGTTTAGAGTGAGTAATTCTATTAAAACTTGTTTCTATAGAAGTTAATAATTTAAAATCAATCGTAATTAAAAGTTTAAGAAAAGTATTAACTATGTATTGAATGGCAAAATGAATGAAAAAGTGGTGTTAATTCGTTTAACTCGTCATACCATTATTGACGCCAATGATGCTTAATTAATGTTGGTAATATGTTTTAATTAAAATAAAAAAATCACCCACGTGCAAAAAAAATTAAGTCAATGCAGAAAAGATTGAGAAAATTGTAAAAAATTTCCCTATTATTATTGACACTATCTTATAGTTACTATCTTATAGTTACTATCTTATAGTTACTATCTTATAGTGCTATCTTATAGTATATTATCTTATAGTATTATTGGTAATCTGTATTAATTAAAATAAAAAAAATAAGATATTGAATAAAAATCAAAATCAATGGAGAAAAGATAATAATTTGTTTAGGGGAACCGTGGAAAACTATCACAAGCAGATGACGCTTAATTAATTTCAGTAATACTACTGGTATTATGATAGTTGCAGTGGCGTAGTTTTGATGAATGTTCGG